TATAGAGACAGAAATACCCTAAACTCGATGGCTAGACGAGCGAGTATTATGCAGTAGTGTTTGCTCAACTCTCGTTAACATTGCCTTATGTCTTTATTCAATGTATTCTAAAGAATTTTGCCAGCAAACATTGCGCTGAACTTGGCTGTTGAGTCAGCTACACAATATTTATATTATGTAGATTTTATGAACAGGAATTAAGCATACGCCATGTGCAACGTGTTCTTTTATTCAAGTTTATACCATATTGTACTTCAGTACAAGTTGAGCTGTTTTTGGCTGCTATTCACACGTTATTATTATGATTGATGTGTTTTTTTATACAGATATATATATATATATATATATTCATACTACCTCAAACGCTGTCTTATTCCAAATGCTGACCCACTTTTTGTTATTTACTTTCAATAGATTTATGATTTTTGTTCTTTTTTTCGGTAGAGAACAAAAAACGAAAATAAACCATGTTGTTTTATTTCTTTTCTGACTATATATAATATATTAAATTGTCGGTGCACAGTAGCTGACAGTCAACGATGACGTCGTCGTCGTCGATTGACAAAACCAGAAAGAAAAAAGAAGAAACGAGCGCTATTAATTTTGACTGCGCCCCTCGGCGCCGCTAGCTAGCTAGAGTTCTATTGTTTTGTTTGGCCTGCTGAACTGACACTCAATTGGTTTTTATGACTGCGCTGCGGCGGAGCTGGCTAATGACCGGCGCTCAAGTTCGCATCGGCGTATACGTAATATATTAATATACGTATACGTAATGTCAGCGTGGACAGGTCGCAGACTGCAGCATGCGTTAAGCGCAGTGATGAACTACTAATTGCCAAGTGCCATTAACAAAGATACATTATTAAATGTTTGTCAAGCGGCTTGACTAATAAATTAAAAAACATAATTTGTTACTAAACACCAAAATTTGTGTGCGCTAAAAATTTATGTTTATGACTTGAGTATGATTTCTTAGCAATTTGAGAAGTCTTCTCAGTCTGACCTTTAACTGAAGAAAAATATGTGTATAGAGACACGAGTAGTTGAGCATAAAGTATTATCTAAATGTTACTCTGGCCTGGTCATTCCTAGAGAACTTTGTAAAACTTCGTCTCCTGACAATTGCCAATTTCTGACACCAATTCTCGAGGTGTGATATTTCTTCATAATTCTTTTGATCATTTTGCCCTTCATCGAAATTTCATACTCTCACAATTCCCATTCTGTAATGCCATTGAATTCAATTTAAGATTTTTTTGTTATTTACATACAGCAGTTAGATTCTATTAAGAGAGCTCTCGATGGTCAGCCTCTACTTGGTTAGACGTCACAATCAAATGTACTTTCAATCTGACACTTTTAGAATTTTATTAACAACCATCTGTATCAGCTTTCAAGGAACTTGAGTGTTCAAATGGCTCAGTTGCTTCCCATGCTTCATGTGCCTGAGCCAGTCTGAATGAATGACTCGAATCGTACAAAGATAAATTCCAAGTTTACTTTTACTTTTGTTTACTATTAACAAATGTGTGCTGATAGCTGTAAGGTGAGCTTATCTCTAAGAGGGAGTTGTGTCTGTGCCATTGCAGACTATTCATTCTTCCGTTATTGTAGATTACTAAAGTTTGCCTGCAGAAAATATGACTAGTCTAACAAAAATTTCAGTTCCAACTGCAAGTCAAAGTGAAAAAGAATTTACTAATTCAAGGTTTTGCATTTACTTTATAATTGCTACTAGCTGTAGTTAAGCTTAAGTCATTCATTCTTATTTCCTTCCACTCGTATCGAATTAAGCACTTGACTCTTATTGTTAGCCCGAAAGCATCTGCAGCAATTTCTTGTTTGTCATTTTGGCAGACAAGTTGGCGTTGTGGCACCAAAAAACCCTTGTCATGGTCGAAGCGACAATGTGACACTCTCAAGGCAGCGGGAATTCAACAACGGCGACAACGATGACAATTACATAATTACAAACTTGTGTTGGCAATTAAAGCGATGCTCAAGCAAAACAAATAGACAGAGACAGTGGCAGAGAGAGGGGAGAGAGGGAGCGACAGCTGCATGCAGCACATACCCTATGCTTGATGGCAAATTGAAGCTTTGATTGATGGCACTGGGATTGAATTAGGCAGCCAAGCATGCGCAGTAGGCCGTCCTTAACTCCCAATATTTACACTCATAAATACTGACAAGAATTGAAAGAATATAAAAACAGATAATAATTGATCGAATTGATGGAATTTGATAGGGGTTACTTTAAAGCGAAGGCCAGACTCAGATTTTCATTTCATTATAAATGCATAATGCTGCGCTAATAGTTACAACAAATCAACCAGGCCGGCAATAATAAATAATAACAATTAACGTAAATGAGAGCATTAAAGTGGGTAGCAAATTGGAAGGCGTGGCCCGGCTGCTGCGGGTCACAATGGGGTTCAACGATTATTAATCAAGTGCCGCCTTAATTATGCGACACAACTGTCCCATGTAATATCTATGTAGTTATCGCCCAGGGGCAATCCGTCGAGTGACGTCTGCGGTCTGCCGCATCAATTAAAATTCGTTTCGCCTGCCGCTGCCGATCAAATTGAACAACTGCCCAAAAAAGAAAGAATTGACAGTGTTACGAGCTTCGTTTTTGGCATTAGACTAGCGGGCGGGTCATGAAAGGGGCCTTCGGCTGACTGTCTCTTGGCTCTTGTTTCTTTAGCGCCGTCCAAAAACGAATGTCAAGTATGAATCCATTGATGAGTGCTCGTTGGCTGTCAACGCCGGTCCGAATCCATTTGATGGGTCTCTTTAACAATTGTTACTCTCTCGAGATCTTCTTCTCATGCCCGTTCTCTCAGTGAAACGGAGTTTATGAGCTTTATACAAGAAGATCAAAGTTTTGAATGAAAACTTAGGATAATATGAAATAGATATTGTCCATCTGAGACACTATCTTCTGCAATGCATTGCTCTTGAAATCTCTCTAGAAGCTGCAAGCGAGTATTAGCCAGTCGCTTATAGCCGACTCCAACCCTTCCTCGTTATAACAATATGTCTCTATGTATGCATAAATTCGGCGCTTTTTGTTAAAGCAATTTCAATTCTTTTTTATTTCTTTCTTTTCGAATCGCGCTTCTGTTTCCGGCTTTCATTTTTCCGGTCAGTTCTCGCGCAGCTCTCTGCGCGTGCGGTTCGGCTTTTAGTTCCACTTGAACGCTAAGCACCGGCACTCTAGGTACGATCTATTCTACGATATATTAGCATAATTGAGTGTTGTTATGTTGTGTGTGGATTGCAAATTTGACATTGAACTTGCTGCTTGGAAACTGAACTTGAGAAAAGAGAAAAAATACGAAAGAAAAAACAGCGAAAACAAACAATCCAAAAGTAAAACACAAACAAACACAACGATTTCATTCGCGGTTTGTTTGCAGCTCAAATTAGTTTTCAATTTATGGCGCAAATATTGACTGAGTGACATCAGCAGTTGTTTGCAAATAAGTTGGAAAACGCTTTGCGGCAGTGCCACACAATTTATTTACTAATAGTTGAAATAAACAATCAACAACAACAACAACAACTGAAGCAACTTCAGCTGGCGTGAAAATTCCAAGAAGTCAAGCAAGCGGTTAAGCCTGAGTTTGATTTTAGCTCAAATTGGTCTAATGGGTCATTATGCCGGTCCAAAGTTGGTTGGAAATGATCCAAGTTTTTTGGCCACGTATATGAGCCTGAATTGATTGCATCCGGCGTTGTGCGGCAAGCTGACATATCACAAATTGATCACTCGTGGCAACTTTGTTTGCTTCGAAACCTAGCATCGAGGATTAAGTGAGATATGAATATGCTCAATCAGTCAATCAATTGGCCAGTTAGTCAATCTCTCAATCAATGAGTTAGTTCATCAAACTTTTGTTAGTGCAACAGTCAGTCGATCAAACAGTCAAACAGTCAATCAATCAATCAATCAATCAATCAATCAATCAATCAATCAATCAATCATCAATTAATCATTTAGTCAGTCAATAAGTCAACCACTTTATCATTTAGACAATTTATCAATCGATCAGTCTAACAATTGACTGGGCAATCAATCAATCAGTATGTCAACCAATCTGTCAATCAATCAATTAATCAATCAGTCAATCAATTAGATACTCAAGCAGCCAGTCGATCATTCAATTAATCAGTCAATCAATTAGATACTCAAGCAGCCAGTCGATTAGTCAATCATTCAGTCAGTCAATCAAATACTCAATCAAACGGCCAATCAGTCAGTCGCCAATCAGTCGCCAGTCAAGTACTGAGCCAATCAATCAGTCAGTCAGTCCGTCAATCAGCTTATCATTCAGTCAATGAAGCAACCAATTATGCAGTCGACCAGTCAGTCAGTCAATCAATCATTCACTCACTCACTCACTCACTCACTCACTCACTGACTTTGGTTAGTAAAAATAAATGGCTTCATTTATATAGCTAAAATGCATTTATCAACTCGTAGATACAATTCCGGCTAGTTGGAGCTACATTGACACGAATCTGCCCCACATTGTTGGTCGCTTCAAAGATTTTAGCTATGCATAGGGGTAGGCGGCATGATGCATGTGGCATGTGGCATGTGGCTGCTTGTCTCGCGTCGTTTCTCATTAAAAATGCAGCCGCAAATTTCGCAAAGTCAAACAAATGTCAAGGCGTCTTTTCACTAAGCTTATCCAAAATTAGAACCAGCAATGGGCCATGGCATCTGCAGAAAGATACACAAAGACACTCACACACACACACACAAATACAGCCGCAGCATTTCTGCAGTGACAGCGCCTTGAAATCTGAGAGTTCATCTCGTTGAGGCCCTGCCCTCTTGATTCGCGGTGAATGTGCACATGTTTTTCTTGCTCACTTCTTCTTCTGCGGAGGCTACATTCGGGTCAGACTTGGGGTTCAACATTTATCAAAAGCCAATTTGATGTTGCATGTTTATTTATGTGGCACCTCTTCCATTTACTTTGCAGCACCAGCAACAAAACCGACAACAATAACAACAGCAAGTATTAGAAAAGCCAAACAGCGCCACATGCAAATTCACAGGAAAAGCCATACACACACACGCACACGCACACACACCAAGTATTAGCTGTAGAGGAGCTGCAGATACAATTGCCAGATAAGTTCTGCTGCACAGTGGGACGAAAGCGTGTGTCTATTTGTTTATTGTGGCAACTGGAAACTGGAAACTGGAAACTGGAAATCGCAGAGAGAGAACGTGAGACGTGCCACAAGATGCCACAAATGCTGCCCAATTCGATATCCAAGTGCTGAGCAACAATAATATTATTATTACCAATATTATTATTAGTAGTATCTTTGGAGTGTTGTGCGAACCAGCCAAATTCACACATTCTAATAAGTAGCTCGAAAGCATAAATAAAAGATATTCGAAATACGAACTCGAGCCAACAGAGGTGTCGAGTGCATCGTCCAGATACCAGACCGAGAGTAGCCCGCAACAACTGTTGCCCCCTCTTCGTGTGTCCGCATAGACGTAGGTCGTGGCCAAGGTGTTCAAAGGCAAACGAAGCGGCAGCCGCAACGAGGTGTACACATTCGGCACCATGGAGGGCGGTTACGTAAACGAAGGTGAGTGCCTCGTAAATCTATCGATCTTCCACTCTACATATTTAAGTACACCTATTTATACATATATATTTATTACCTACGCTGCATTCGATTGAGGTGCTAAAACCCAAATGCAATTGAAATTTAGTACTTGCTCAACGAGTGCCATATTTTAGAGTCCATTTTATCCATTTTTTACGGCCTCTTACTTGGGCCGAATGCACTTTTTTGTACAGATCGAAATCTGTAATCAAATCAGTTTTATGGGTTCGTTTGCATTTATGAATTCAATTGTGGAAAATTTTACAACTTTACAATTTTTATGGCTTTTCATTTATTAAATATTTTTGCAGAGAAATATTTAGGTCTAAGATTTTAAGATATTGGTTGCTAGGTATTAATGGGTTAATTATTAATTCGGCTATTTATTTACATATATTTGATACACAACATTTCTTTTAATGAGTTAACTCAAGTTCTTTACATTCAATTAAAAGTAGTACTAATATATATAATATAATATAATATTTAATTTCTTATATAAGACTCATTATTGAATCAACGAAGACTTCGAAAGAAAAGCTTATGCTAAACAAAAATATTTTTTTGCTTCGAAATTTAAATATATTATTAATAAACATTTTGTGTTTTTGCTTCTTCTCGATTTTCTATTGAAATTATAGACATTTAGGTTTTTTGCAATTTTTGCCAAATTTTGTTAAAACAATCTAAAGTTTTGTTTAGAAATTTTTATTATTCTTATAAATGTTTGAATATTTTTGTTTACCCTCGGGTTTTTCTAATTTTCTAATATTGGAATTTCTACTTTCATAAATAGCTCAAGTTGAGCCATTCGAAACAATAGCACTTCTTAGTCATAGCTGCTTTGGGCTTATTAATAGATCAAGTCATATCTACTTATATACCTGTGCACATACATACATCATTTAGACTCGCTATCCAGTCGCTTGATTTGTGAATGGACTCTTGCATCATGCGCTGCATTCACGTTTATATGCCACATTTACATATACAATGCATAAGACCCATTCTAGCTGATTGTTAATTGCAAATTTATACGGCACCTCGGCACAGAAAAATTCAAAATTCTGTTTGAAAATAATCGAAACAAGAGATGTTTGCAGCTTATTTTGACTTTGAAATATGTGAAAGCTATGAAAATTGCATTGCAGACAAATTTTTCTACTTGTTCTTAAGTTTTTGCTGTTGCACAGTGACACCAGATGCTGTTTTTATTTGCTTTAGCGAATCGTTTTAGCTGCCAGCATTAGTCAACAGAATGAGCCAATACGTCAAGCGCAAAGCATGCATAAATTATTTCTATATACCATTTATTTGTATTCTCTTGCATTTGGCAAACATTTGCTGCTGCCCAGAAATAGACAATTACGAGACTATAGTCTGTTTACCTGCACTGAGTCAGGCCGACATCTGACATCATAGCTAAATAATATAATCTATTTAATATAAACACACACATGCGGCCCCACAGAGGATTCCGATGCCATAATGGGCGTGGAAAGTCCAGGTAAATTGAAACATAGCATTAAGTGCATATCCATTTATTTGACGCCCAATTATCAGCGCCACTGGAGCGGTTCATTAAACCAAGTGGCATAAATTTGTGGCAGACACTCAATTAACTATATGATATCGCCATCGGCGTCAGCTTCGATTCGTTGAGATCAACAAATATTGCTGTTGTAGTCAACTGATCAACTGGTCAACTGGTCAACTGGTTAACTGGTTTGCTATCATCGTTCAGTTACAAGCCGGTTATTACTCGGCATCGCCCACTTTGACCGAACATCTTCTAGGGCTTGAGTGAAGACATGTCTTCTATATGCATACATGTATAAATAATCAGTTCAATACACGGAAAAAACTGGCCGATCCATATTAAATTATGAATGCTATGGAATTTTTAATATTCATATTGAATTCAACTATTCAATTCGGCTGCTATATTTAACTTTATTAGTTCTGTAATTACGGAATGAGTCAGCTTTTGGGTTGATTGCGTTTTCTAGCACACTTCGAGCTGCATTTTAAAAAACTTTCAAATCTCATTTTCTTGCACACAATCTTAGTTTTCACTTTCGTTTCGAGAAGGTGTTTCTTACTCGATTGTTTCTATTTTATGCATTATCAATCAATCAGTCAGCATTTTAGTGATCAGTAGCACAATCTTTTTTATACCTTCATTGATGAAATTAAATGAAGTATGTTGGTTTGATGTAAAAGACGTATTTCTATACGTAGGTCTATCCCTTCACCTACTTGAGACTTGACATATTAAATTTAACCTATATACTGTTGTCTGTAAACCCGCAGAAGGGATGGCAGGTCAGGTTATCCGTAGTTTTATAACAAAAACTATATAAGCTTCTCTAGACTTATAGACTCTAAGATCTGTCGATAAACATTAAATTGATATTTAACTTAGCTGCTTGAAAACCATGAGCGAGTTGATATATTATAAAAAGATACAAAATATAAAAGTGAAAATATAAAAATATATTATTAATGATCATTCAGTCAGCAAGTCAGTCAATCACAACTTACTAAAATTTGTTTACAGTGTATCTGTGTTAGCACATTTGTAACTCAAGCGTAAATGATTTGCGTATTTATATAATCTGATTATGAATTTGTAAAATCAAAATGGTTAAACATTCTGGGCATATTTTATAAATTGCCTTAACAGAAAAAAAAATTCTAAACGTCGCTAAGTAGTCGCTGCTGTTGTTGTTGACAACTTGGCTTCCATTTAGGGCGAACTGGCGGATGCTGAATAACCTTAAACGTATTTCAATTAATATTCAATTCAGTAAATAAAACTGCCATAAATTTATATTCGAGACAGTTGCATTGAGTAGTTTTCACATCGATTGATGCAATGTCAAATCTCAAGTATTTACGCAAGCACACACCCAAGCAAGAGACATTCGAGAAATGCAAATGCAACTGCAACTTGAGGCACGTCTCGCAAAATGCCAGAAAAATAAAATGCGAAAAAGACTTGCTGCAACATCCAGTTTAAAGCAATTTGGGGCAACTGCTGATGTCATCCGAACAAGCAAAAAGATCTTTAAGGATCGTTCCGCATTTATCTCGAACACGTTTCAAGCGAAAAGAGTTGAGATCAGAAGACAATGAAGCTACATTTTGCAGCGACTTCCACTTTTAATGCCTTCTTTGCGCTCTTCGCTTTAGATACAAATTTGATTCTTGGAACTCGACGAAAAAGCCGCAATAAATAACGTGATCTTGGCTTTTGTAATCAAATCGCATAAGGGCATGCGTCTTGACTGAAAACTGAATACTCGCTTACAAATTGAAAAAGGAATGTTTGTAGTTGAATATAAGTGAAGATCTGTGTCATATAAAGTAGAAAGATTATATGGCAAACGGTAATCGAAACTAAATATGTATAGTAAGTTTATAGAGCTCGCGCTCTTCTTTCAATCTCTACCTGCTCATGCTTGAGCTCTCATTCATCGCTGAGCGCGTATTAGACAGTCGCTTAAACTCAGCTGCAACACTGTGGCTTAGTTTTTACTGCTATTGAGTCACTTTTAAAGCTGCACAGCCTTGAACTTGCCTTTGGACAATGTCGCGGCATAAGCCAAACAAATGTTCTTCTTTGATAATGCAAAGACGCAAGCAAACCTGTCGATAACCTTGGGTACATCTGTCTGAAATTCCGTACGAAATAGAAAAGTTTTTATAGCCTGTAGCACCCGCATATGTCTATATGTGAATTAAAAACAAATAAAATATCGAGCAACAGCTAAATCAACTGAATTTAACAACGCATTCAAATCGCAATTAGATAGCACAGCAATACGTGGCGATAATTTATCGCGTCAGTTGGTGTTTATAGACACGCCCACCCCTCCATAGCCTCGCCTGTATGTATGTGTGTGTGTATAAAATAAAAACAAAATGATCTATCTATAGAGCTTTTAATGTTGCGCAGGCAGAGTCGGGAAACGCAACTGAAACATGGACATGGTCCACTCAGTTTTACATTGACCCTGCGGCCGCGAGTGCTTTGAACTGTAAACAAAATTTAGATATAGAAACAGATACACAAGCATATATATAACACGTCTATATGCATGTGTGTTTATGTGTGTTGATCTACGCATATGTAAATTTAGTGGCGTCTCAGCGATGACGACAACAGCTACATGAGAATTCAAATGGGGAGAGCACCACAATTTTGAAACCCTTCTAGAGGGTATCATGTTTTCGTAAGGCATTATGTAAAGCATAGAAGAAAGTCGAGCTACAAATTAAAAAATAATGTTTAACATATATATATTATATATTTTATTGATAGTTAAATGCAATCAAAAATCAAGTCTATATCAATGAATACAGAAAAAAATATCAAAATAAATATCAGTCTATAGGCAAGCATATAGGCAGTCAAGATAGATATGTTTAATATATTCCCATATTATAAATATGTAAAATCAGTATGTAAAAGAGTATTTTACTCTCGTTGTTGAGTTCCTCGCTCGTGTCATATTTAGGCAAAATTTATTAGCAACAACTGTTTGTTGAATTTAATACAGGCAGCTGCTTTTTGTTTAGACTTCAACTTGACCTTAGAATATATATGCTTGTGTTTGTCTATATATATACACTTGTACTATCTGATCTGTTGGGGCGACTGTCTACATAATTGGGCATGATAAGGTATCTGTATTAGCATAATCCACGTGACAAGAAGGCGTCACTTTTAACACCTCTGCGAAATGATTAGCCAAAGTCTTGATAGCTTTACAAACACGAAATAAATATTAAAAAAAAGTCTTAGCACAACACTCGAATCAAGAGTTGTTTGACAACTTTTTCACCTGGCTGACAGCTAATGAGCTGAGTTGCATTTGTGAAGTGTTCAATTACCTGACACTTTAAATGCAACAGCAATCAGCTTTGATAGAAAGCCGATCAATTGTAATAGGAAGTTGTGGAAGAAAACTTTTCCTTAAGTGTGTTTCAAAACAATTGTGACAGCTTCTCAATCACAATTTAATCTGAGCGCTATTGCATCATTGCCTATTTTCACCTACAACAATAACAGTCAATTTTCATTGAAGCTCATTTGAATATTTCACTGTTTTCATTTCCATGTGCATTCCCATGCGCCTTTCCAGTTCAAGTTCAGCGAGATCGAAGACAATTGTAACCGCTCCGATCGCCAATCGATCGAATGCATTAAGAAAAACAAGTGTGGATTGTTGCAAGCGAGCATATCCAACTGCGGAATACTCTTTCGCAAAATAGCGAGAGCTTTCAAGATATGGCTTACTCGATTAAATGGAGTTGATCTTCAGAGTAGCAACTCGATTTGTAAAGTAAATTTCGATCAATATATAGATGGGAAAGCTGAATGCAGATAAGATGTATTTACGGTATTTTTATAGTGGATAATTTGAGAATATATCTATCTATATATATCTATATGTGTGACATTGATTTAGGAAAGTTTGGTAGGATCAATGTATATTGCTTTAGAGTAGTTAATCTGATAGTTGAACAACTTCATTATATATGATCAATTTTTATTTGTCCCACTTTCGAAGACAACCTCTTAGCCTGTAAAGGATACTCATGAATATATAAAGAAAAAATATAAAAGAATAAGATTTTCGAAACTTAGAAAATATCTTTACCTTTGAGTGAATAAATTTAGAATACAACCTCTTAGCCTGTAAAGGATACCCATGAATATATAAAGAAAAAAATATAAAAGAATAAAATTTTCGAAACTTAGAAAATTTCTTTACCTTTGAGTGAATAAATTTAGTCAGATAAGCAGGCTCGTATATTTAAAGTAGCAATCATAAATTGTCTTTATATGTATGTACGAAAGCTAATAAACTCACTTAACTTTATGAGCAGACATAGAAACACGTGATTTGCATTTTAATTGTTTGCCTAACCGTCAAATCGTTTGGCCTCTGGTATTGGCCGTTTTCTCGATATATTTGCATTGGCTCTTTGCCGGCTGTGACTTGTTAATGGAAATCATGGACATGGCAACAGATTAGATACACATATATGCATAATTCTATATATATATCTGCATAATGACGTCAGCATTATGATCTTTCTGCACAATGTGCACAAATTAAAGACAATTTGCAGCGCGCTTGTGGCAACTCCAATTGCTGCTGACACAATTCGTGCAACGCCCATCGATTTGCTAAATAAACATTGCAGTGGAGATAGATGAAAGAAACTCATACACACACACACTCACACACACATATACATATGCGCACATGGATATTTATAGATTTGTATGCAAATTTGCGTTGAGCGCATGCGCAACATTTGGTTGCCAGTCTTCGAGGCAACGTTGCAAAGTTTCAGTATTTAAGAAGTGATTCTTTCTTCTTCTTCTAAACATAACATCTATTTAATCTAAATATGTAATTATCATATTCCTTGAGTGTATGCCAGTTGTTAGCCAAATGCTTATAGCCGCTGCGTTTTAAACTCGACTGT